ACCAAATTTTCTCTTCGTGATAAACGTTCATCCTATCAATGAAGTACTTGTTCTCAGCAACAGTGAAATTAAGCTGAACACCCTTCCTTCTCCGCATTTAATATTCCCTGGACTTTCAACTGTGGTGGAGATGGAAAAGCGTTTTTGGTTTACTTCCACTCCTCCATCTGGGGGTAACATTTGTGCCTGTGTATGTGTGTGTGTACAACAAGCAGTAAAAGAAATGAGCAAATATATTCTGAATAACTCAATTATACCTTTCAATTGTTTTATTTTAAAGAATTGTAGATTCTCGTGGATTATCAATGGGCGTGCTGTAAATAATGCTGATCGAGTCAACACCAAAGTGGAAATAATAATAATGATGATAATAATCCTTGCATTTGATATAGCGCCTTATCACGTCTTCGAGACGTCTCAAAGCCCTTCACAGAATATACTGTAAAGTGAGTTGACTGTATATTTGTGGGCGAAACGCAGCAGCCAATTGCGCACAGCAGTGTCCCACAAACAGTCATGGATTGAAGTGACCAATTTTATTATCTTTTTCTTGAGGGATTATTAACAGGGGTGTGGAGTAAGGAAACTTGCCCAAGGTTTCACCCTGTCCGGGAATCGAACCCAGGAAAGGCTAGGAATGAGCAATGTGGTATATAAGCAATGATGTGGGAAATTGCCTCTGATTGTATCTGCATTGCACCGTATATACCAAAAGCCTTAAGCGTCTTGCACATTGTGATTAATACGGTACACATTTAGTTTATGTTTCGAAAATGTTTTACAATGCCACTTTTGAAACAAAAAGGCAGTGATTTCTTTGGAGGGGGGGAAAGGTAAGACAAACCCCGTTTTGAAACCTAACGATCGAGGTAATCCACCAGGCAATGGGCATGGTCATATGGGAAGCGGGGTATTATCATGCCTTTCTTCATCTTTTAGGAAGTTATTTCATAATTCTTGTATCAAATATCTGTTCAATACTATCTTGCTCTATTAGAAGTGTGGCGTGATTGGTCTACATAGCCTCCGAGTTCCCTTAACAATAAACTCGGTGAATGTGATAGTGTTATTTTGGGCAGTTGATAATTGTCACTCAATTTGGGTGACTCAATAACTTCAGATTCAAGAGTTTTACACTTTGAAAGTTTAAGAGGATTAACTAGCTGTCAAAATATTAACAGTTGGTAGAGTTTCTCATTTAGACTCCAGCTTTCTTGTTTCAGCTTTCCCATCGATTGCAGTTTTCTTTTTCAGTTTAATAGTTGTGTTGTTTTCGGAAATCAAACCGGCACAACTATTAAGCTGAAAATGCAACGTTACTAATATGGAAATATTGGCGCAGTATAATGTATTATAATCACCGACCCACATGCCGATGATTCCCTAAACCTTCTTATTTGTTGACCTAGTGCAATGTGAAATTAGTGAACAATCTGCACAAGTTAAACAGCTGTTGTTATTAGTAATTCTACCCGAACCATAGGACAAAGTTTCACCTGGCTCACTTTGCATTGGATATAAGAACGATTGAGGTAAGAAACCAATAATCATATTTTCTTTGATTGCTCTGATTTTCTGTGTGGTATTTGGACGGTGTACAACTGAGAGTAAGTACCAATCTTCTTTTCATACCTCTACCTAGAAATTGCCTTTGAAAATTTACTCAATATAAACCAGCAAATTACTTGATATAACCCATCCTCTTATTTAATTGACTTCTCACTCTTTTATTTGGATACATGTACATATTTCTAGCACTATATTATTCAATGAAACTCCACACGGATATTGCAGTGTATAACCTTCCCCCCCCCACCCCTTTTCCTTAAAGTAATAATAATCCTTGCATTTGATTCAATGCCTTCTCATGTCTGGGAGACATCTCAAAGTTCTTCACAAGATTTTACTGTTAATTGTGACTGTGTATTTGTGAGCAATGTATTAGATGTGATCAGTACATCGTTTTCTGCAGTAGATTTATGCATGTTTTTCTGTTAAGCCAAACAACTATTTTCAAATTGTATGCAATTTCTGTTAGTATATTTCTTGGGGTTGGGGGGGTGAGGGGTAAGTCAGAATTTTTAAAAAATGAGTTATTCGGAAGAGATGCAGACTCTTCTTCTATCACGAGAATTGACCACTCTATTATGTATTTCACAACATGGGATCTACTTTACTGGTTATGAGAGATATTCACAAACCAGTGGGCCTTGAGGGGATTGCACATGCCCTTACTTGTGTAAATAGAACAAATAAAAAGGATTACAGAACGACCTGTAATTGTTCATAATTGGTTATTAATTCAATAAAAATTGACACATGTAATTCCCTCTGCACACAAATATTCGCGCTTGGTTAGCACAATAGATTAGATCCCAAGAGAAGTAAATATCTCATCCAAAAGTACGAGTGCCAGCTATTGCTATCTGCTGGTATCTCAGAGGGATAACCATCTCTTGATAGGACTTAATGTATGGAATATAGCTCTTCTTCTGTTAGCACACGTTGACCCGTTTTACAATTATTATAATACAACTGTGATTCTACCGCTTACAAGTGAAACAAACAAACATGCCAATAAAAGAGTCTCTGAAATGGATAGGAGAGTTATGAGAACCTTCATGATAATAATGTTTTCCTTTGTAATTATTCCTTTCACTCCTGCACTGGGATACTGCACTAACATGTTAAATCTCTTCATTTTAGTTAATAATAGAAGCATAGAGAGTCCGTGGAGTCCAATTTTCTTAATAGCAATGTGTAATTATGTTTAATGTGTAATTATCAAGTTTCTAAAACTTAGAATCTGTTGAAGAATGCAATCAATAATTTGTTAGACATTCAAGAGGGTATTCTTCAGCACATTCTATGTTTTCAAAACGTTATAGTTTCATGTTCCTTAATCATAAATCTGTTTTTAAAATACTACAAAATAGATCCCTATATCTCAGGCAAAAATTAGAGCCATAGATTAGTCAAGCAAGAGGAGCTATTGAGATGTAACTGTGTAATGTATTTAATCTCCACAATTCTAGTAATAATAATCTAATAATAGTAGTAATCCTGGCATTTGATATAGCACTTTTCACGTCTTCTAACGTCTCAAAGAGCTTCACAAAATAGACTGTAAAGTGAATTGACAGTATATTTGTGGGCGAAACACGGCAGCCAATTGCGCACAGCAGTTTCCCACAAACTGTCGTGGATTGAAATGACCAATTTATTATTGTTTTTTGAGGAATTATTATTATCAGGTATGTGGAATAAGGAAACTTGCCCAGGGTTTCACCTTGCCGGGAATTGAACCCAGGTCTCTCGCTTGCAAAGCGAGTGCTCTAACCACTGAGCTACAGGACTCCAATACATATTGTAGTAAATCATATTGTAAATACATATTGACAATGATCTTCTTGGCGCAAGCACAAAGTCTTCTTGTTTTTCAGATATATCCAAGCAACAACAACAGCAAGATTACATTTGTATAGCGCCTTTCACGTTGGGAGGACGTCCCAAGGCGCTGGACAGTGTACAGCATTTCAGACAAGCAAGACCTTTATGTGAACTACAGCGAGGCTGTTACAGTAAAGAGATTTAAGTTACTGAAAGAGTGCTGAACAAAAATAACAAGCCACAGAGAAAATAACTTTCTGGGTTGTGATTATCAAAGAACTACACGTTAGACACAGAGGTTCTGATAGCTAAAACACGCCTCATTGTCGACATTGAGAAATGCTTCCATCAGTTCCAAACGTCAGTCAAAGGCACATCAAAAGCTAAAGAGTTGCAATTGGGTCACATTTCAATCATCAGAATTTGTTGCAGAAATGTATGGAAATTTTAAGGAGATAACCCCCCACCCACTTAAACTATAGAAATGTTGTTCTTCCAAGAGATGGAACTATCATTGAAATTATTAAAAGTACCATTATCAATTAAGTGAAGGCGTAAGACATTTACTATATTGAAGGTAATCGCAAAGGGCATAGTCTTTAAAATTAGAGCTAGGCCATTTAGGAGTGAAATCAGAAGGCATTTTTCACACAGAGTGTTATGGAAATCTGGAACTCTCTCACCCAAATGGCTGTGGATGCTGTGGATCCATCAACATTTTCAAGACTGAGTGGATAGATTTTTGTTAAGTCAGGGTACGAAGGGATATGGGGCAAGGGCTGGTAATTAGAGTTGTGGTGCCAATCATTCATGGTTTTATGAAATGGTGGAACAGGTTCGAGGGGCCGAATGGCCCATTCCTGTTCCTATGTTCATTTATAGTTGCCCACTGTCTACAAATAAATGACCAGGTACGATTGCAAAGGATTCGTCTCACGCTTTCACACCTAAAAATTCAGCAGGACAGGATTGAAATCTATTTCCTCTTGGAAAACAGCACAGGCTCAATGGTGAGGGCTGCAGCAGGTCACGGCCTTCAGCGGAGCCCAATTTCCACCTGTTCACCTGCAGTAACCTCTGGGCGCCTTAAGAATTGAAACTGTCGAAGTCTGAAGGTCCGGCTGAAGATTCTCAGCAGCTTGAAGGCCTGAGAATCTCTGGCACTGGAGTGATGTGGTGCCTCATGCCACTAAGCTTTGGATAGAGAGGCGGGGGTAACAAGCAGGCGTTCCCATCCCCCAGCCAAGCTGCTGTGGCCATCTGCAGAATATCACATTACCCATACAGTACCAGAGATTACATACCACCCGGTAACATGCTTAAACCAGCATAGTCCCTTCCCTGTAAAACAGTACATTCTGCTGCTGTGGGAGATTGGTGGTAAATCTCAGATCGAAAGGCAAGGCTCATAGGTCATGATATTAAAATGGATCCCTGAGGTTGGTGGAACAGCACTCCAATCAGGATGCCTTGATTATTATTCCTTAACAAAGGAATAGAAATGGAAAGAAAACGAAAAAACATATTTTATCGATATGCTTATCTGAACATTTACTGAACTTTACAGCATTATTCTGTGAAGTGCCTTGAGACACCTCGAAGATACGATAAGAAGCTATATTAATGCAAGGATTATTATTATTACTGTAAATTTCTACCGATCGTACTTGAATGGTGCTGGTTTGATTACACATTTTTATATATTTATAGATCAATGTTTCTTTATGCACAGGGCACATTTTGAACACTTGTTTACCTGTCTGCAAAAGATCTTTCCAGGTTACATCTCTCTACCCATCTGCAGATGCTGGTAACACATTGGGATATTTAAATAATTCCTTAGCTCCACACGAAGAAATCATCGGATCCTCTTATCAAAGACATCCATTTATTATGCAGATTCCATGAGAATTCCTTTCAGGTGAGATTGTCTGCTAAAAAAATGAGATTTTAGTGCAAAAGAACAAAAAAAACTGGTAAATAATTTTTTTTGTTTTTCTCCTGAAATGGTATTAGGTGAGACCATTCCTGCACCCACATGAAGGTATTAAGGAATAACCGCATTTGATGATTTTGCTATTAGTTTTACTCGTAGCATCTGAATGGAACAGGAAATGTGTAAGACACAGGAATGATCAAGGCAGTCCTGCTTGCAAATTCCATTAATTATACTTTAACATAATTAGTGGACAGTAGTTTTCATAGCATCCTCAAATCTATTTTAGATGAAGAAAGGGCATTCCAATTTCTTATTGTTTGTGAATGATCTGGGTTCTACTTTGCGGTATTTCTTGATATGAGGGTTTGTAATGAATTCCAGTTGACCCATTGGAACTCTGCCTTGGAAGCAGAGTGTGTCTTAATGGAAACTTCAAGGTCTCTACGATGTACTTCCTGTTATTAAAAGGCAATTTTCTCCCATCCACAATTTAGATTTCTTATATTCTTTTTAAAAATATTAAGAATACTGTAAGTTGGGTTAGATCTTAAAGAAGCGTTGAATAATGGATTACCAGAACAGAATAAAACTGTTCCTTTAAGCCACCTTACAGTTGACAAATGTTCATTGAGTGCACATTCAGCTAAGAAGGGGTAGAAAATAACACTTAAGACACAGCAAGACCACAGACAAGACTAGTTTAAATTATATTTTATGTTTCTTAGTGTGGCTAGATGCTTTTAAATCATTGGCAGTGTCAAATGTGCATTGTAACCATTTTCTTTAAAGAGCATATATATTTAGAGAGGCGGTTCAGATGAATTGTGGTGATGGAACAAACAATATACCAACCATGTGCTGCGATGGACCCAGTCGCACAAAATGTTTTAAGAAATCAATGTCTATTTAAATTGTTTTGCCTTTTTCTCTTTTCTCTTGTAGGCGAATCGTGAGCAACAATTCGATAGGCCAGGACTCTTTCAGCTTTGAAAAGAAACACATTGAGTGGACCTCATAGTAGAATGTAAGACACTGTACTGATCGGTATAGCAAAAGTACATCTCGAACAATACTTCCAGATATGCAAAGGCAGATGAAGGTAATTTTAGATCAGACCAACCAACATATTATTTTTACTCAAGGTAATCAGCAGCTGGATTGAGTTATCGGGATGAGTGTTTGAAGCCAGGATGATAGACTCATTCTGAACTCACTGTTCAGAAACAGTTTAATGCTGCGATGGGAAAATAATAGAGTTGGTATTCTGGAAGGATGAAATTTGATGGTTAGAGGGATTTCGTCATCCAAACCTTTCTTGTAATCTTATGATTAGATATTGAAACAGATGTTGACTAAAACTGAGCATTAAGTTGCTTGATACAATTTAATGGATTGTTTGCAATAACACGGCTTGGCCTCTCCACTAATCTTCATTCCCCCCATTCTGTGGGCAGGAGGAGTAGTTCTACAATACAAATATGTTTTCATTGACAAACTAAGTGCGAATAGTGCAGAAATAAAAGTGGTTTCCCGACGCTTTCCTTTTTTATACAATTTTTAAAAAGACATTTAAGGATTTATTTTACAAGTTGTAGATCACAATAAATATGAAATAACTAGAAGACAGCTGACAAAATAGTTCATTAAACACATTTTATTCATAAAAAAGCAAGGCCTCAAAGCAAAAAATAGAAAACCGTAAAATTGGATTGCAATACATTCACCACCCAGAAGAGACAGACATAATCACAAACCAAAATGGACTTAAACAAAAAGAAACAAAAGAAACCTATTGGATTCCAGCAACACGAATGATGAGATCTCTGATTCATAATCCCAAAGCTAGATTTTGGTAGATAAATACAATTCTAAAATTAAAAAGGTATTGGAACATCTTAAAATACAAAAACAAAACTCCTCTGGTCTGTAGTTGAAGCTGTTGTGATTTATACCAGTATTTTGACAATAGGCGCAAAAAATACAAAATGAGACTCTAAAAGCCTTATTATATAAAAATCGCTAAACATCAATTATCACTGTACAGTAGGAAAGCAAATGCAAATCAATGGATCGAGGGGCTGGGTAGCGTTATCGGGTTATCACATAAGCATTTCCCTCTGGGACTTCAGTTCTCATCCAGCCCAAAACAGGTCAATCTCCTTTCTGCTCGCTGTAGGTTTCAAACAAGAAATTCGCTGAGGAAATTTCAAGCCACTATGACAGTGGTCGTGTGGCCAGAGCAAGAAAATGTCTCTAAAGTTAGTTGATCGTGGGTGTATGGCGCGAGAGTGAAAGTATTGATGTCTTTTTTCTTGTGAGATAGATCAATATCCATTGCAACAAGTGTTTTCTTCCTCTCGTGTCTTTCCAGCAGTCTGTACAGAAACCAGAAGTGTTCCTTCCATTCCCGAGCTTCGTAAGATCTTTAACCAAATTATAGAGCTGACCCGAGCTGAAGTTCGATGGATCGAATGACCTCCTCCTATATGCCTTTATGATTTTATGAGCACTCCTGCTTTTTTCTTTAAAAGAAAAGGTTGCTTTTCGCCAAACGAGCAAAAAAAAACGAAGTAAGTGGACGATTACTTTGTCTTAAACGTCACTTAGAGGGGAATCTCCAATCCCTTCTACGGGTATCTTGTTTTCAGTCACTAATTATCTCGTATCATTTCATCTGCACAGGAAACAGAAGCTCGCAGAGATTGTTATCGAACGTGTGTGACCAGATTCCCGATGTAACACTGCTTACGGCTACTTCGTAAAGTAAATGGGGAAACAATAAATGTCAACGTAGGAGGTTTTGTTTTAATTGCGAGACTTCATTAAAAACATCTGTCTGACCCAAGGAATCGGTTAGCTTTTGTGTGTGTGTCCCATGTGCTAATAGCTGTCGTGAAAGGTCTGGCGATATGGAACATAAAACACACACACACACACAACTCCCACATTAACAAGTAATTGAAACTTGTGGCTTCACTGTCTGCAAACAGAATGCGGTTGTCAACAGCTCACTGTATCACGGAGTTGTTTCGCTATTGGCCAGCAATAATAATAATATAATAATAATTAACAATAATATAATAATTATTATTATTGGCCAGCAATGCAAGGGATATAAGAATAGCAACACTGCGATGTTCTATTGAGACGTTTCCTATGGGAGAAAAAAATGTTGCTAAATAGCTGAGGAGTTCAGTTATATATGTTAGTGGCTAATTTGCTCTTGGCCAAAAAAAAATCATCATTTTTTGAAAAGTACACAGTTCACAGTTTCCGTCTTATTACTTAGCAACAAGAGCCAATTAAAATAGTTCTCTCCAATTTCAGTCAATTAATAATGTTCCTTTGGGTAGAAAAAGAGGAGGCGTCAGCTCGCAATTGAACTTAAATGCCAAGTTGGTGTTGTTTAAGCGTCTTGGGATGTCCTCCCGATGTGAAGAGCACCCATTTATAAATGTATATTTGTATTGTTATTGTTTGTAATTACGAATAAATACATGTTTTACACTTTACTTTCTTTTTCTTTCTCTCTCTGATACATATATGCGCAAACACATCTCTGGCGACTTTCAAATGAGAGGTGAAATTAATGCAGAATTAATGTCAGTATGAACATCATTAATGTTTCTCTGTGATTAGGCAACGAGTATGACAATGTTCACCTGTCCTTGCTGTTCCAGCATGCGACATCATCCCAAGTCTCCCTACTAAACTTTCAACACCTTATCACAAAGGTGCAAAAGGATCTGGGTACTGAATAGGTTTGGGTCATGTGCACCATTCTCACTGCAGAAAGCATTCACTTGATGGGGCATATACTTCTTGGATACCTTTCATTGACTCCCCTGGAGTAACATGTCATCTTTTTGCTTTGTAATTATCTGCTCTGATCTTCTTTCTCTCTGTCCTCTCTGATCTCATGTCTCACATTCACATCAGTCACATTACCTCCTAATGGTGTGACATTTTGTCACAGAAATGCAAACATCGTTATAAAAAGGCCCCATTGGAGAGGCTGGATCTGTTTTCATTGGAGCAGGTTAAGGAAGGACATGATTGAGTTGTACATTATGGGAAGTTTGGTTAGAGAAATAGGGAGAAGTTATTTCTATTATTAAGGGAGTCAGGGACATAGATATAAGATAGCAACAAGAAGAGTGAACGGAGAATTGTTTTCAAGCAGAATGTAGTTCGGATGTGGAACTCCCTGCTGAGTATGGTGGCGGAGGTGGAGTCCATTGCAGCTTTCAAGAGGGATAGACAGGCCTATGAAAAGAGGGCCTTAAAAGGGTGTTGGGTAAGGCAGGGTGGGAGACTTGAAACAATTTCCTAGCTCTGTGAGCCAGTGCAGACTCTGCCCCGTAGATTTTTATGTCTCTGTGTTTCTAAGCAATAACCTTACCGGGTGACAGTTTACATAGTATATAGATACTCAAGAAAGAAACCTCATTCCTTTCTTCCTCCTCTCGTGTCTTCTTTTTATACTGTATCATCAAATCATATAACAATCATTGTTCAGGTGCATCTGTAACTTGTTTTAGTTCTTGTTATTCGTATGAAAGTCAGGTGTAACATAATATATTAACAATCTGATTTATTTCCTGCAAGTCCTGTTTATGAGGTGTCAATGTGGTGTAATCCATGCAACTGTTGTACTTTCCTGAAACAAACCTGAGTTATCAATGACTAAGTCAATTGTTAGCTTATTAGTAGAATACTGTAATAACAATGTGGTAACAATATTATAACAACAGTCATTACATTTGGTATAGCACCTTTCATATCAGGAGCACGTCTCAAAGCACTTCACATGACGAACTGTAAAGTGGAGTCACTGTGTGCTTTGAGGATGAAACCAGCAGCCAATTTTACACACAGCAATGCCCCTCAGACAGTCATGAAGTGAGTGACCAATTATATTGTTGGTCAGGGCCCCAGGAAAAAAACATTGTATTATTAATCCTTACATAATTGTAGCGGTCCAAATAATAACCTGGTTTGGATCCAAACTGCTGGATGGGATAACAGCTCATGGGCTCAAAAACTGCAATTCACCAATGAAAATCTTAGCTCTCATTGTCTGTATAATGTACAGAGCGGTAATTATTCTCTTTGATATTTAATGCAGAATCCCTCATCACATTTGGCAGCTGATCTTTCGTGCAATATAGCTTTTTTTTTTAACTTGGAATAAGTCACCCCATCCCCCCAAAATAGATTGAATTATACAACCAATATTTTTTCCCAGATGCTAAGAGGATGATGGGACGTTCCAACAACAACAATTTGCCTTTATAGAGCATCTTTCATGTCGGGAGGATGTCCCAAGTCACTGGACAGTGAAGGGTTTGCACCTCAGCTGGGGGTTGGAGTCGAAAGTGGTGGAGGGCAAGGTGGGGGTGGGAAGATGACCAGAGTCACAGTTGAAAAGGAAGGTCTTGAGAAGGGGTTTTGAAGGTGGCAGAGCGTGAGGACAGAAATGCTGAAGATAGAGTGGGCAGGGCAGTGGACATGGAGCAGACCAGTTCCTGCCAAGCAGAGGGAGCAGAAAGGTTGGCCAAGTTTAATAGGTCACCGAGGTAGTATTTCTTGTAAATTCTCTGAAATGCTAGGTTAATAGATTAAATCCAGACCCGGCTGGAATTTTCCTCCAAATATAGCTTGTACTGGATTCTTATGTGTGAGTTGACTTGTAGGGTGTGATTTCGTGAAAATAATGTGTGAGTAGTGTCCCAGGCATCCCACCCTCCAATTACCTAAGGATGGCAGGAGAAGCAGAAAATCACATACCATTAGCAACCCATGTTGTAGCTCTTTGGTTTAGTGAAGGTTCCTAACTCACTCTCACAGCAGTTCTTTGCTCTTTGCTCTTGCTGCCCCCAACCCCCCCACCCCCACCACAGCTCGGAGTCCTGCTCTTCCGCTGTGAAGCCCTCTGGGACTAGCTATGTTAATGCAAGTTGTTGTTGTAGTGACAAGTCTGAGACTGATAGATTTTTTTAAAAATAGAGGGATTAGGGGATATGGGGAGAGGGCAGGTAATTAGAGTTAGGTCTGAAGATCAGCCATGATCTTATTGAATGGCGGGGCACAGGCTGGAGGGGTCGAATGGCCAACTCCTGCTCCTAATTCTTATGCTCTTATGTTCTAAGTCATCGACATTTAACGGTTGCATAATGGTTGTCGCGATCATCGGTCAGCATCTCTTCTCCGCGAGCAGTTCCTGAGGTTGCAGGACAATGCTGCAAAGTGTTAACTTTACACTTAAACTAAACTCAAGAACACCGAGGTAAAACTTGCGGTGTTCCTTCAACCTCGTGGAATTAAAGTTAAGAACGGGTTTAAGACCGCAGCTTAACCATTATGATTTTAAAGAAATTATATGTCTTTTTTTTTAAAAAAGCCAGTCCGCCAATTCGCTCTGAGACAATTTTCCTTTATTTGAGGCGAAAATGGTATCGTTACTCCAACATAAAGCCAAACAAAAGGTTATGCTGGAAGTTTGCAGTTTTACTGCTGATGTACGGTTTCATTTTAGTCTCTGCTTTTATATTTTACGCTTAAACTTAACCACGCGGTTAAGTCTACAGTTCTAAAGTTGTGTATTTTCCAAGTAGAATTAAGATGTAAATGAAACGGGTTCTGATGCAACGCCTTATCATTCAACAGTAAATCATTCCTCTTAACTGGCAAAACACAATTTTTTGAGGATTTTGTGGATTTTGTCTGGATTTAATCTATTAACCTTCTTTCGCCCACAAAATATACAGTCAATTAACTTGATAGCACACCGTGTGAAGCGCTTTGAGACGTTTGAGACGTGATGAGGTGCTATGTCAAATAATAATGATCAAATGCCAGGATTATTATAATTATTAGTACATTCTCCTCTTTCTGGTCGGCATAACATGTTGAGAAATAGCTATTATTTTGTTGTGAGGCTGTTTGTGACATTTCGCGGCTCAGATCCAAGCAAACACCAGATGAAACTTCTTCTTTTTTTGATATTTAAATGAAAAGTCTCGAAAATTTGGTTCATTGGGACCCCGCCGCAAGACTGTCCTAAAAGAGAGTGTGACAAGTTTTGGTGAGCTCGAAACAACTTTTTAACAAAGTGCTAGCAATTCACAGTCTCAATGCACACTTACTGTTACTATTGAACAGGTTAACTACATCTGCTAATATTACTCTCCGTTTACCCCCCCATCCCCTTCCACACTCAAACATATATTAACAAACACAGGCACACACTCTGTCATACATCAAGATAATATTCTTGATATATATATACATATGCATGCAAATTAAAGACTGATACTGACACAAGCACACGCACCCACATACACACACAATATACCCATATATACTATATATATATACAATATATATACTATATATATACACATATACCCATAGACACAGAAAATCTGTATGAAGGCAAAATACCTCTCCCCTATATAAATATGTTCTCTGTGTGTGTGGTGTGTGTGCTCCTGTGTGTGTGTGTGGTGTGTGTGTGCTCCTGTGTGTGTGTGTGTGTGTGGTGTGTGTGTGCTCCTGTGTGTGTGTGTGTGTGGTGTGTGTGTGCTCCTGTGTGTGTGTGTGTGGTGTGTGTGTGCTCCTGTGTGTGTGTGTGTGTGTGTGGTGTGTGTGTGCTCCTGTGTGTGTGTGTTCCTGTGTGTGTGTGTGTGTGTGGTGTGTGTGTGCTCCTGTGTGTGTGTGTGTGTGTGTGTGTGTGTGTGTGTTGGGTGTGTGTGCTCCTGTGTGTGTTGGGGTGTGTGTGTGTGTGTGTGCTCCTGTGTGTGTGTGTGGTGTGTGTGTGCTCCTGTGTGTGTGTGTGTGTGTGTGTGGTGTGTGTGTGCTCCTGTGTGTGTGTGTGTGTGGTGTGTGTGCTCCTGTGTGTGTGTGTGGTGTGTGTGTGCTCCTGTGTGTGTGTGTGTGTGTGGTGTGTGGGTCTGTGGCAACTCTTTAAAATGCTTTCAGTAAAAACACTAAAAATACTGACTCAGTGTTTCAAACTATTTTAGTCTCTGTGAAAGAGTCCTTCCTTTTCTACTGTGAAACAGAGTGAGAGAGAGAGAGAGTGAG